AAAGGGAAACATACCTTGAGCGTTTATCATTGAGGTGATTTCATTGTCCTTTATCCTCTTCCCTCCCCCATTCTTTTTTTTCATTGCATCTCAATTCCTCTCACCTTGCCTCTGTATCTACACTAAGCTCGTGTGCATATCAGAGAGGGATTTCACTTTTAGCTATTATTAATTTTATTTATATTATTGGGTTTTCTCTTCTTTTTTAAGGTATGAGAAAGAAGGGAAGCCGTCTGAGCTAGCTTCTGTAGACGTATTTGTTAGTACAGTTGATCCAATGAAGGAGCCACCGCTTATCACTGCAAATACAGTTCTGTCTATCCTTGCTGTAGATTTTCCAGTTGATAAAGTAGCTTGCTATGTCTCTGATGATGGTGCTGCCATGCTCACGTTTGAGGCTCTATCCGAGACATCTGAATTTGCAAGAAAATGGGTACCGTTTTGTAAGAAGTTCAGCATTGAACCTCGAGCTCCAGAATGGTATTTTGCTCAAAAAGTCGACTATTTGAGAGATAAAGTAGATCCAACATTTGTTAGGGAACGCCGGGCCATGAAGGTTTGCAACATTTTCCTCCTAATATTAATATGTTTGCTGCGGCTAAGTATCTGCCATTTGACTAGCTTAGCTGCATGAAAGAACCAAGCGTCGACCGAGAGATTGCAGTACTTAAGCATAAAACTTTAGCAGGAAGAGAGTTTGTTTATTTGCCTCCAGAAAAAAGAAAACATCAACTTATATAATTGCTACTTTCTTTATTCTTTGGCATGGCATTTTTGTTCTTAAAACAGGTTTTCCAATGGTTTAATAACTGGTGTTGCTCATTTGTTGATACAGAGGAAATATGAAGAGTTCAAAGTTAGAATAAATGGCTTGGTTGCAACGGAACAAAAGGTTCCAGAAGATGGTTGGACAATGCAGGATGGAACTCCATGGCCCGGAAACAATGTCAGGAACCATCCTGGCATGATCCAGGTGAGCTGTTATTCGTTAAATACTGTTTGGGATTTGGTTCAGATGCTCTTCGGTCCCCACATTATTTGCAGTATGCATTAACATGGTAAACATTTGGTATTCTTTGTTTCAGGTTTTCCTTGGTCATGATGGTGTTCGTGATCTTGAAGGGAATGAATTACCTCGTCTAATTTATGTTTCTCGTGAAAAGAGACCAGGATTTGATCACCACAAGAAAGCTGGGGCCATGAATGCTTTGTTATACCCGTCTTCTCTCTGTCTCTAGCATGCAGCCATGCACTCACAACAGTCTCAGCTTGGCAGTTGGCATGTCCTTTGATCTTTCTGTTGTCGGGTTTAATCTAATTGTAATTATATTTGGTTGATTTATGAAGGTGCGAGTTTCTGCCTTCATCTCCAATGCTCCTTTCCTGCTGAACGTTGATTGTGATCACTACATAAACAACAGTAAGGCTCTTCGTGAAGCCATGTGCTTCATGATGGACCCTATTTCGGGCAAAAAAATCTGTTATGTCCAGTTTCCTCAAAGATTTGATGGCATTGACCGACATGATAGATACTCAAACCGAAATGTTGTCTTTTGACGTATGATTCGTCAAACTTCAATTTTGCAGACATGTTTCTGCGTAAGAGGAGAAGATGACATGCTATTTCTTTCCAAAAAACAGATCAACATGAAAGGCCTGGATGGGATTCAAGGACCTATTTACGTTGGAACTGGATGCGTCTTCAGGAGGCAGGCACTCTACGGATATGATGCCCGTGTCAAGAAAAAGCCTCCAAGAAGGACATGCAATTGTTTGCCAAAATGGTGCTGCTGCTGCTTCCGATCTAAAAAGAACAGGAAATCAAAATCCATTGATAAGAAGAAAAATGAGGTTCCAAAGCACATACATGCTCTAGAAAATATTGAAGAGGGAATTGAAGGTAATTATTTTTCTTCATTCGTTTCCAGTATGCACCTGCAAAATCTTGGAATATTCTTCCTTCAGAAATTTTTTCCCCATCAAAGTTTGGTCTTCCATATTTACAAATATATTTTGCCGCAAACCTAGAATTATTCCACTATTTTGTTGTTAGAGTAGGTATTGTCGTGGCTCTTTGTTAAAGTTAGATTATTTTAGAGCCTTATAGTGCCATCATCTGTGTTGCAGGTATAGATAATGAGAAGTCGGCCCTTATGCCACAAATCAAATTCGAGAAGAAATTTGGTCAGTCACCTGTTTTCATTGCTTCAACACTTATGGAGGATGGGGGAATCCCAAAGGGAGCAACCACTGCATCACTCTTGAAAGAAGCAATTCATGTCATCAGCTGTGGTTATGAAGATAAAACAGATTGGGGGAAGGAAGTATGTCGAAAGTGTCCTGGACTTAATAAATTAATTTGTATCTTGTGAAGTTTTTTTCTTAGAGTTATTGAATTTTGATAATGATGCTCATCAATTCATATCATCATCCAGGTGGGATGGATATATGGCTCTGTTACTGAGGATATATTAACAGGCTTCAAGATGCACTGCCATGGCTGGCGGTCAGTGTACTGCATGCCGAAAAGGCCTGCATTTAAAGGTTCAGCTCCTATTAACCTGTCTGATCGTCTGCACCAAGTTTTACGATGGGCTCTGGGATCTGTTGAAATTTTCTTTAGCAGGCATTGCCCATTATGGTACGGGTATGGTTGTGGATTGAAACCCTTGGAGCGGTTTTCGTATATTGCTTCTGTTGTGTACCCGTTGACATCAATTCCACTGCTCGTGTATTGTATACTACCGGCCATCTGTCTCCTTACTGGAAAGTTCATTGTCCCTGAGGTAATTCTGAATTTCTGAGTAGCATATCTTTTTAACATGCGTACTAAATAATTATTTTGAGATCAATTAGTTAAAAACAATCAGCTAGGATTAGACATTTTCAAACTGTTTGTAGGTGATAGTATGACTGCTCATTGCCAACACTTAAAATTGCAGCAAAACTCATATGATACCAGAAAAGTATTCCTCGATGTGCCGAGGGAATTACAAAATCTGGATGCTGCATTTTATCTTGCTTTGTCAAAATTTCAGCTAATACTGATTTTTGTATTTGCAGATTAGTAATTATGCCAGTCTCCTTTTCATGTCTCTCTTCATAATCATAGCTGTGACTAGTATCCTAGAAATGCAGTGGGGAGGTGTCGGAATACATGACTGGTGGAGAAATGAGCAGTTCTGGGTGATCGGTGGTGTCTCATCGCACCTATTTGCTCTCTCTTCCAGGGTCTGCTTAAGGTTTTAGCAGGAGTTAACACAAACTTCACTGTTACATCAAAAGGAGGAGATGATGGGGAATTTTCCGAGCTGTACATATTCAAGTGGACATCTTTATTGATTCCTCCCATGACATTGTTGATCATCAACATAATTGGAGTCATAGTTGGGATTTTGGACGCCATCTCAAACGAATACGACTCGTGGGGGCAACTATTCGGTAGACTGTTCTTTGCATTATGGGTCATCGTTCATCTTTACCCCTTCCTCAAGGGGTTGATGGGGAAACAAGACAGGCTTCCCACCATTATCGTGGTTTGGTCAATACTTTTAGCATCAATTTTCTCTCTTTTATGGGCTCGAGTCAACCCATTTATATCGAAAGGAGGCATTGTTCTAGAAGTGTGCGGGTTGAACTGTGAATAAAAATACAATAAAAAGAAAAAAGAAACAGAGTTGAAAGATTAGATGCCCCGTGATCAATGAAGGCTGTGTGAAAATTGCATAAGTCTTCTGCTTCTTTTGGTCGAAGAAGCAGATGACATCCCTCGATTCAACATAACCGCCTCAAATATGATGTAAAAGGTGAGGAAGAAGGTGCTTGTTGACACATATATAGAACTGTGATCCTATTTGTTGGTGCTACCCTCATTCTCCTTCATGTCATGCAAAATCAGTCGTTTTGGTGTTCTTTGAATCAAACCAAACTTGCTCTTGCTTTTCATTATGGACGACATCGACTGCTTAACTGGCACACTGTTGCTTTTCTCCATTTTCCCACTCGCATTTAGCAAGTTCAGTTCGGTTCTGAAGGCTGTTTCTTCACAAACCGCCACTGCAGCACAGTAAAAAAATGAAACTATGCAAAAAAAAAAAAAATAATGCGTAATCGAAATGTCCAAAGTTAAACAGATCTAACCTTTGCCAGTTTCTGAACTCTTTAAAACGGGAGATTTATCTCTCATTGCTGCATCCAGCCCCGAGAAGTCATTCCTCAACTCCATATTTTCTTCTGTACCTTCAGGTCCATCCTTTCTCAAGGAGAAATTTGTTTCCTCAACATCCGATTTCGCAATATAATCACCCTCTTTAATGTCACTTAAATTGCATTTTGCTACGGCCATGTCTAGAGCAACATCATTACTATCACCAGTCTTTGCATATATGAATTTTTAACGTCGTCTTCAACCCCAAACAACAATCTCATCTCCATGTTGGTAAAGATGTTTGATTCATCAGGATTCTCTAGGTGTTTACGTTCTGCTCCATTTTAACATCATCAGCGGACACAATTTTTTCTGTATTAATCTAAAAGAGTGGTTTCGTTTACAAATAAGTCATTGAAATGAAGGGAACGATTGAGTACTTACCATCAGAAGGGCAATCCACAACCATCTGAGGTTTCATTGACGAAGCTATGTTCAGCTTACTGCAGCTTTCAACTTCCCTGGAATCATGAGCTATGGTTTCAGGAAAATGTAAGGCATTTGGTTCGTCGGTCTCTAGGTTACAATTCTTCCTTCCATCCAAACATGGAGACTGGTTCACATCCGATTTGTCAATGCCATCCAGGACTTTCAGTTTTCACGGACCCTTCACAATCATCAGACTTTGCTCCACCAACAAGTTCTTCAAGACCTATCTCGCTCTCGTCTTCAAAGGAACCATCAGTATCTGTATCATGATCCTGAAAAAGCAAAACCAGTAGTCACCTTTGAGTATAAAAGATGAGTCATGAAAGTTAAAGCCTCAATCCAGTTAACAACTGCACCTTTGCATTCAGTAGATGTCATCCATAGCTTGTGGATGTTCTTTTTCTGCTTTGCCACAGGAAAAATAAAAGAAAAAGATAACTTATAATTTGATAAAAAGATAGAGATGTACTTTTAGTTAAAAAATTGTAACTGCGCCAAATCAATATTTTTCAGTATTTGAAAAAAAAACATGAAATAGTTGAATTACCAATACTGATTTCAAGCTTGCCACAAGGTGTATCAGCAGATGACGAGACATCTTCCTGTTCACCATGTAAAGATCTCTGATGAGAAACAAGCGATTTTTCACCATCCTCGACCCTAGCTTCTTCAATGGGGAAGGCAGTATCAAATTGTTCTGTTGCATCACTATGGTTTGTGTCAGGATCATCAACCTTTGTTCCATATTGAGGGTAGCTACTGTTTAAAGTGCTTTCCAGTGGGAAAACCACTGGAATGTTATCCACAGCCATGTCAATAGTTGACGTAAAACCATCTACTCCGAAGGAAGAGCTACAATTATGTTCAAGTCCAACCTCTTCACCTTGATTATCATGACCACCATAGTTCTCAGCTTCCATGACAGCAGGTACATTTGATATTTCTCCTGGATACTCAGTGCTCGGAACCCCGAAAGTATCATTTTATTGAATTATTTGATTGTGACACTCATATTGGGGTCATGCAACTCTGCATCCACATTGACACCACTGCACTCAGTAAGCTCAGCTTTCAGGGGTGATGTTGCTTTTTGCTCCACCATATTGTCCTCTTGTACAACAGCTGTTTCACCACTAGCAGCAAAGTCTTTAATGAAAGGATGACACACAACTCTTCCACCACTGGCATTCGTTTCTCCATCCACCAGTGCATGATCAAGAGGGCTTATTGAAAAAGATTCTGAAGTGAAAGGCGTGGTCCTTTCCTCGGATGGCAAAGCTTGAGTGCCATTACCAAAAGCACTAGCATTGACTTCTCCGGTTTCAGCACCTTGCATTGAAGTTTCACTTTCATTATCCTGAGGCAAAATATTTGCTGGAATTTCGTCTCTTGTATCCATGCAAACTGCCTCAGATTTTTCTTGCATGTCATTGATAGAATACTGAAAGCTTTTGTTGGGCAATTTCTCGTTCCAAATACCTGAAACAGGCAGAAAGAAGGAAAGTCCTTGATAAATAATTAGAGGAAAGTGATAATCTATGTAGCATATAAATTCTTTTGTTCTTGTCCCAAGAATATCTAGTCAACTGCTACATTCTTCCTGTATATACTTTCTATCATTCGTCAGAAAACTGAACTGATTAAACACTAAAGCTTTTGAGGAAACAACCAGTATTAGCAAGAAACAGAAATCAAATTAACAGTATCATTTACCACTGAATCAAGCAACAGTAAGGTGTACTTTAACAAAAAAGGGGATAATTCTAATGCATTAGCATTGTGAATAAACATCACCATGAGAAGCATTTTCAAGTATATCATTACCCTTCTCTTCTGGTGAAACTGGACCTGCTACTTCTCCAATAACTTCATATGTAAGTTTCTCCTCCGTTTCACCTGAAACATCGTTAAAGCTTCCGAGTTGTCTATTTTTTTTAACTATTGCACATTGAATGTCAATACATTCTGAAACTGGATGATAAACGCCATCTTCCCTAGACTTTCCTTCAGAACTCTGATCATTAATATTTTTTCCACTGACAAACAACACAGTTTCAGATTTTAATGTCTTCTTTTCCCACTATTTTTGCATTTTCTTCAACATTTAGCTGATTAGGCATCGCACATCCTGCACTGCTAACATCAGTTTCAGCTCTATAAATTGTACCTGCAAGCAAGTATATGGTAAAAAGTTCAATCGACAAACTGCCTGGATCTTAATATAAAACACTCTTATCATCGTTCGATATTCCAAAAAGTTAAAAAAGATAGAAAGTGAAAAGTAAAGATACCTTGGTATCCTCTGCTGACTACTTGAGTTCTAAGAGGACTTACAAAATCTTTCTCGTGACTGCTTAAGCTCCATTGCATTGCTATAATTGTTGTTTGACCAGTGGCTTCACTCATTTCATCAGTCTCAACTGAACTTTCAGTTTGTAACATTCCTATACCAGAAGAATCACCGGTACCTGTTTCTGCTGTTTTCTTCAAGGAATCTCCAGATTCCTTTGTACCACCACTTTCACATACTTTATTCAAGTGATCCCAGAAAACTACCTCCTGAACTTGTTCAGCAGCAGTTTGGTTGGTATCTTCTAAGTGCATTGAACTCTTATTCTCTTGAGTAAGACTTGTGTCTTCTTTAACTTCCATTTTGTCACTTTCCTAGAAAACTACCTCCTGAACTGCTCCAGCTCTCCGATCCTCTTGAGCAAGACTTGTGTCCTCATCAACTTCAATTTTGTCACTTTCCAAGGAAACTACCTCTTGAACTGTTTCAGCAGCCGTTATGTTGGTATCTTCTAAGTGAAATGAACACCGATCCTCTTTATATGTGTCCTCTTTAACTTCCATTTTGTTACTTTCCCTGAAAACTGTCTCCTGAACTGGTTCAGCGGCAGTTATGTCGGTATGTTCTAATTGCAGTGAACTCTGATCCTCTTGAACAAGACCTGTGTCCTCTTTATCTTCAATTTTATCACTTTCCCAGATAACTACCTCCTGAACTGGTTCAGCAGCAGTTACGTTAGTATCTTCCAAATGCATTGAACTTTGATCCTCTTGAGCAAGACTCGTATCCTCACGTACTTCAATTTTTTCACTTTCCCAGAAAACTACCTCCTGAACTAGTTCAGAAGAAATTATGTTGTTATTTTCTGAGTGCATTGAACCCTGATCCCCTTGAGCAAGACCTGTGTCTTCTTTAACTTCCGTTTTGCCACTTTCCCAGGTAACTACATACTGAACTGGTACAACAGCAGTTACGTTGGTATCTTCTGTGTGAACTGAACTCTGATCCTCTTGAACAAGACCCGTGTCCTCTTTAACTTCCGTTTCGTCACTTTCCCAGATAACTACATCCTGAACTGGTTCAGCAGCAGTTATGTCGGTATCATCTAAGTGCATTGAACTCTGAAACTGTTGAGCAAGACTTGTGTCCTCTTGAACTTCAATTTTGTCAAGTCTGCAGTCAACATTTTGAGTCTTCAACGATTCTTCTAAACCCAATACTCTCTCCGGTTTCAACTCATTTGAAGTTTCACCTGCAAATATAAATCACAAAGTGTTAAAGTTAGGAAATCAACATGGCATTCATTATGAAATCATAAACAAACTCACCTGCAATTTTTTTTTTTTGAAAAATAATAATTAAAATAAAATAAATTACTTTTAAAAATATAAATACAACACAGGTTACATTTTTGAATAATTGATGAATTTTTAATAATTACGAGGTAAAAAATATTGCATATATGTTATGTATTAACCTAAAGAAAATTTATAAACTTAAAATGAAAAAAGAGAGTATAGTTTGATTAGTTATTTTTTAATGAGAAAATCGCCTTAGTGACCAAAAATGCCTTATAATATACGATTTTAACCAACTTTTTTTGGATTTGCCAAAATGACCAACAAAATCGCAACGCGAAATAAAAATCGCAACGCGATCCCCAGAATCGCAAATCAGTTTCCAAAATCGCAATGCGATTCTTGAAAATCGCAATGCGATAGTACAAATTCGCATTGCGATTTTCCAGAATCGCAACGCGAATATGAAAATCGCAACGCGAACACATAAATCGCAACGCGTATCCGTAAACCGCAACGTGTATCCGTAAATCGCAACGCGTATCCGTAAATCGCAATGCGTATCCGTAAATACGCGTATCCGTAAATCGCAATGCGTATCCGTAAATCGCAACGCGTATCCGTAAATCGCAACGACAATACGTAAAATCGCAACGCGTATCCGTAAATCGCAACGCGATTTTTAAAGCGCCATTATAATCGCTACGCGTATTTTATTTTCAAATTACAAAAACGAATATTAAGACAAAATCTCGTAATCGCAACTCATAACCTAAAACTTAAAATCACAACTCAGTCTCATCTCCATCTCTCACTCTCTACGGCGAAATCCGTCCCCATCTCCGAAGATTTCCGTCCCCATCTCCGGCGAAATCCCTCACAACCATTCACGGTCAGAAATCCCTCACAATATTCAGAAATGGAAAATCAACCTCCGAGGGTTAGTTTTTTAATTATTTTATTTTGAAATTTTTGCATTATTGTAGGTTTTTCATATTGAAACTGATGATAAGTTTACTGGATAGATTAACCATTTCACTTAGATTTCATTTCGCGTTGCGATTCTCTCGTTGCGATTTTCATTTCGCGTTGCTATTCTCTCGTTGCGATTTTCAAGTTAGTATTTGTCTTTGTCTTTGTTCTGTCTTTTGGTTGAAGTAATGCAATCCATTCAAGTTTCAATTTGCAGAAGAGTCGCAACGAGAGAAATGAAAATCGCAACGCGAAAATGACTATATGCAACGAGAGAAATGAAAATCGCAACGAGAGAATCGCAACGCGAAATGAAAATCGCAACGAGAGAATCGCAACGCGAAACCAAAATCGCATTGCGATTTTCATTTCGCGTTGCGATTCTCTCGTTGCGATTTTCATTTCGCGTTGCGATTCTCTCGTTGCGATTTTCATTTCTCTCGTTGCGATAGTCATTCTCTCGTTGCGATTTTCATTTCAACCAAAAGACAAAACAGTGTTGCAAATTTTAGTTTCAAGAATAAACTACTACTTTTTATGTTTATTGTTTTTGGTATATCTTCACAGTGTAGTTTTTGGTATATCTAACTTGGTATGTTTATTGTTTTTGTAGAAATTTTTTTCGGCTTCATTGACATTAAGGAATAAAGTTAGCCTAGCCACTACAATTGCTTCGAAGCTTTCACCTGCACAAAGACAATTGTTTGAGGAAACCTGCTTCGGGCCATGGCTGAGAGTACAACATCCGGGTGGAGATGCTAATTTGACCCATTTGTGGCTTCAGACCATGACATCAAATCTACCCGACAGTATACAACGTGGTGAGGAAGAGATATGGTTTCATTTTCCACCAGCGTATACTTGTTTTGGGCGGAAGGAGTTCTGCCTAATCATTGGTCTACGATTCGGACACGATGATGTAGGCCGGTACACTCGTCATATCGCCCGCCCATCATGGTTATCCCGGGTTTTTCCGGATGAGTCAATGAAGAAGCCGAACCTACACGTCGACGACCTGAAGAAATTGTTTAATAAGAAAGATGGTTTCACTCGGATGGATGACGTCGATGTTGTCCGAGTATGCCTTCTACTACTTTTGTATGCCAGCTTTTTAGGCAGAGAGGCCAGACAACCTATTCCTCGGGAGCTAATAATATTGGTAGAGGACCTGAATGCATGGAATCTGTTTCCGTGGGGTTCGTATATGGAAAGCTACTTGGACTAAGTTGTCTACTGCCTTTGATGACCGCAAAAGTTTGCGTGGCGATGGGTCGAAATACACTTTGTCAGGCTTTGTTTGGGCCTTTAAGGTAAGAATTTCTATATAATGTTTCTAAAATTATAATTAATTATTTAACAATTACTAATTTTGTTATTATATTGTTTGTAGATTTGGATATTCGAGGCTTTCCCCAGCATGCGTACATATGCAATAAAAACGTCAAATGATATTCCCAGGGCTATTTCCTGGAAGAGGAAAAATCTGTTGGATTGGGAAGACTTAATACCATATGCGACAATAAATAATGTAAGTTAACACAAATACTTTCATATAATATATAAACAAGTTATTAATAGTAGACGTTTAACTTTGTTTGAGTTTTATATTGTTAGGAGGCCAACATTCCATTACAAAGACCGACACCCACGGAGGAAGAGCTTGCCACTGATTGGTGGCAAGCTAGTCAGAGTTTTTTTGATGGCACGGATGATGAGCAGCATCCACTTCCTCCAATTCGAGAGCCATCACCTCACCTAGAGCCATCACCCGATCGACCCGACTATACACCTCTAGAACGAGAGCCATCACCTATCCCGTCACATCATCGAGCCTCTTCTCCACCATCACCTCATGATAGGCGACCGGCAAAGATACCATGACTCCTATCTCCCTGTTCTCCACCTCCACCTCCACGGGATGAGTCAAGGGAGTTACGTGATGAGGTCAATGCCTTGCGTGAGGAGATCAGTACTCTACGCGATAACGATGGTGCATGGCGTGTGGAGGTGTCAACTTTACGTGGTGAGGTTGCCGCTCTACGTGAGATGATAGTATCGTTGCAGAATGAGGTTCATACTCTACGCAACGAGGTAAGTTTAAGATTTTCCATATTTAACTTGATGATAAATTTACTCGTAATTTCACTTAGATTAGCCATTTCACTTAGATTGCTTAGTAAATTTATTCGGTTGCTGCCAATTCTGCTAAACTGTGTATTCTTTAACACTGTGAAATAGTATTTGTCTTTGTTTTGTCTTTTGGTTGAAAGTAAATTTGTTCGGTTGCTGCCAATTCTGCTAAACTAATACCCTGAAGTCAGTATTTGTCTTTGTTTTGTCTATTGGTTGAAGTAATGCAATCCATTCAAGTTTCAATTTGCAGAAGAAGAAATAGTTTACTTTCGCAACACGAAACTTAAAATCGCAACGCGAAACCAAAATCGCAACGCGAAATGAAAATCGCAACGCGAAACCAAAATCGCAACGACAAAATCGCAACGCGAAACCAAAATCGCATTGCGATTTTCATTTCGCGTTGCGATTCTCTCGTTGCGATTTTCATTTCGCATTGCGATTCTGTCGTTGCGATTTTCATTTCGCGTTGCGATTTTGGTTTCGCGTTGCGATTTTGGTTTCTCGTTGCGATTCTCATTTCGCGTTGCGATTTTAAGTTTCGTGTTGCGAAAGTAAACTATTTCTTCTTCTGCAAATTGAAACTTGAATGGATTGCATTACTTCAACCAATAGACAAAACAAAGACAAATACTAACTTCAGGGTATTAGTTTGAAACATATTTTCTTTGTTATCTGATGCATTTTGTGAACTATGATAGAATAATGACTTGGGTGAATACAATGCAAGTTTGAAACATATTTGTCTTTGTTTTCACTGTTTAAATATCATGTCTGTTTATTTACTGATTTTTGTATTTAATTATTTAGCGGCCCGATAGAGTGGATGCTTTACGTCGGGTTATGCTTGCACGACGGAGTTCACGCATCAGACAGCGTGCACGTGCTATTAAGTCTCCGTACACCCAATAGTGCGAAGACACCGCAAGAAGAAGCCCGACTCGCCTGTCATCCCTAAAGAGTCCACTCCTATCGTTGAAGAGGCCCCCCTATCATTCCTCGAGAGTCCCCTCCCACCGTTCAAGAGGCCACTATCATCATTGAAGAGGTCTCTCCCACCATTCAAGAGCCCGATTCACATGGCGTCATATGTAGGCTTCTTGAGAAACCCTCTGACGTGCCGGACCTAATGGATGAGAGTTGGCTCTCATATAAGTTACCGGCCAGTACCATTCCGGTATCGGAAGTGGAGAGGAGACAACTACCAGACACAATTCTGGATAACACCCTTTGGGCTAAGACCGCAGTTGATTTTTATCTACATGAGCGGAGCCAGGGGTGTTTCACTGACATATGCAAGCTCACCGATGATATCTATTTGTTGCTTGATCGGTCTTGGTGGGGCGTATTATTAGGGGTCGAAGACAATGGCTATTTCGATG